CAGCGAAACATATTTTCCGTATTTTGAATGGTGTCTTGCTGGACTACTTTCACTCTTAATTCAGGCAATATACAAACTTATAGGAGAAGTCTTATGAATTGAAAGGTCAAAAAAGAGAAGAAGTATATAACAAATAAAAAAATTCTTGTTTTTTTTCCTAGAAATACAGGATTTATTTTCATCTTATGATATGAATCATCGAAAGGTTCATCTTTATAAGTTGTCATGGTTACAACTAAAATGAATGAAGAAATATATATTTAAATGGGAGCACGTGATGTTAGAACTGTTGTTAATAGTTTAGCATATCCATATAGTAAATGTAATTCAAAGGCAAACTACAACGCTATTACAAACATGAAAATTTAAAGAAATGAATCCACGTTGTCGTGTTTTTCAAGAACTTGATAATATTGGAAAATATTTGAACTGTCAATAATACTATCTTTCAAATTTACATTAACATATATTGTTTTATGATACACTGATGCCAGTTGCGAGGTTAATAGTCTCCCCTTTATTACATCAATTTAATATCTTTTAATCTGCGCCGATTATGTAAATTTCAGCCTTTATTTGTAATAAAGCGATTAACATTATTACCTCGAGAAAATAATGTCATATGCTAGCAAATGAATATCCACTTACAGAAGTTACTTGCTGTAATATGCAATTGGCGTTATGTCTTAAAAAAGGAGTGCGCTGCTAAACTTAAGATACATATAGTATTGTATGCATGTAACTGACAGACACAACAGATCAAGCACACATGCATGAATATAGAAAAATGAAGTTTTTAATGTTCATTTCTCTATTTATAGTGCAATTTTGTCGTACTAAATAATCATTTTTTGTATTGTAACTGCATATTGCTAAAAAGCTTTTTTCGATGCACATACCGCATTAATAACTTTTCTATCTTGAGAAAATATTAGAAATGATAGTTTAACGTCTTAATTCCGACTAAAAGGACGCAAAGAAAAGAGGAATTGATAAAAGATTGAACTTGATTTTCTGTCAGAATGTTAGCCACTTTCATGGTATTTCTGCCATCGACGGCAGCATTTATAATATGTATCTGCCTACAATGGCAGCATTTTTTCTTCGACCGGACAAGATTGAGCGTCTGTAAAACTTTCAAGAAAAGACTCACGGGGTAGATATTTGGCTTGCGTGACCCCAATGGATGATTGTCTATATTGATAACAGGAAATCCTGCCATTTACTTAAAACTTGAGATATTTTGAACAGAAAACAGGCAATTTCACGGATTTTTCCGAGGCTGTCACTTTTAACCTGCTCAAAATAGTCTTAAAACTGAAAATAAAGAGTCCAAAATTACCTTACAGTATCTCCATTCAATGGACAATAGTTTTATAGCAATGATATGGGCCGTATTTGTGTAATATAATTAAACCAACCAAATTTATAACCTACCTGTACCGATCGGTAATTTTCAGATATCTGCCATCACTGCAGTGATCTGCTATCACTGCCGCCGGTAATACGGTGTGATTAACAAAATGAATAGTCAACCACATTAACCATATATATGAATGGTTGAACACAACAGTAAGGATAAATAGCGCAATGTGCATATCTTTTTATTTTGGTAGCATATCTTAAGCAAAAAGAAAAGAAATAATAAGTCTGAAACATTCTCTCATAGCCTCCCCATCAGTACATTCAGTGCTTTGATTTTTACTTCCCAACATTTTTTAATGTTGTCACTGAAACACCATCAAAGTCCATAGTGGATGACAATGTTATAGAACAACAAAATACATGCACAATAAAAATTTCTAAGCCTGGTTAACAATTGTTTTGAAAAAATAGACAATACAAACATTAATATTTTTTATCTTAAACAATGTAAAAAATACATCAGATCAGACAAATTCACCTTTATAGTTTCTAGACTGATAAATTGTTTCTTGTAACAAGAGCTGTCGGTAGGACAGCAACGCTCGACTATTCTTAGTGCTTGATAGTAAAAAAAATGCTTGATACAGTTACCTCCTCCTGTTTACAGGTTGGGGTCATGATGGTGAACAAGTGTGCAAAGTTTCAAAGCCATATGTCAATGGACTTTGAAAATATTTGAACTATTACAAAAACTTTAACGTAAATTCTAAGTCGAAAAAGGGGCATAATTCTGTAAAAATGCTTGATAGAGTTACCTCCTCCTGTTTACAGGTTGGGGTCATGATGTTGAACAAGTGTGCAAAGTTTCAAAGCCATATGTTAATGGACTTTGAAAATATTTGAACTATTACAAAAACTTTAACGTAAATTCTAAGTCGAAAAAGGGGCATAATTCTGTCAAAATGCTTGATACAGTTACCTCCTCCTGTTTACAGGTTGGGGTCATGATGGTGAACAAGTGTGCAAAGTTTCAAAGCCATATGTCAATGGACTTTGAAAATATTTGAACTATTACAAAAACTTTAACATAAATTCTAAGTCGAAAAAGGGGCATAATTCTGTCAAAATGCTTGATACAGTTACCTCCTCTTGTCTACAGGTTGGGGTCATGATGGTTAACAAGTGTGCAAAGTTTTAAAGCCGTTAGTCAACGAACTTTGAAAATATTTGAGGTGTTACAAAAACTTTTACGTAAATTCTTAGTAAAAAAAGGGGCATAATGCTGTCAAAATTCTTGATAGAGTGACATCCCCCTGCCTACAGGTTGGGGTCATGTTTGTGAACATGTGTGCAAAGTTTCAACGCCATATGTCAATGGACTTTGAAAATATTTGAACTATTACAAAAACTTTAACATAAGTGGTTACGCCGACGCCGACGCTCGGGTGACTGCAATAGCTCTACTTATTCTTATCGAATAGTCGAGCTAAAAAAGGACCAAGTCAGTGAAATTTATAATGTGACACAACAGCCATGGTGAAGATGGTTGACCATGATCATCACCTGATGTTAGAGACCACAATGTAATTTGACCATGTGAGCAGCCATTTGACAAAACATGGTTGTTATTTCATGGAAAACCATGCAAATGATTCATTTCACCTGGGACAAAACTTATAATGACTTTTTTGAAATGTCCATTCAGCTGTCAAGATTCAATTTGCTAAAAGGAAAATGAGCCTAAAAAAGCTTCAATGACAGGAATAGTTTTGCTTATGATGCTGGAAGACTTGTAGTCATACAATTAACCAACAGGAATTAAACAAATGTAAGGCTTGAGAGCATCAAAGGTCTAAGTTTTCTGATGGTGATGTTAGCAGTTTTCTCTCCACATCACAGCAGTAAGCCACACTGAATTTACCAAAGCACAGTTTAGCCACTGCATCATTCCTGGTGTCAAGCAGTTTACCAGTACTAGTTGCCTTCACTTTCGCTAAGAACACATGCCAAAGCAGAAGTACAGTGCAAATGACCACAGAAAGGATTTCATGATCAATCACAAAGAAAGTGTCACCTACACTGCACTATATTGCTACATGCTCTCAGTTTTCATCTCTAATTATAAATATATATAACCAGTAATGTATGTAACACATTCATAAGGATATATTTACCTGCATTTTTGAAAAATTCTAACTCCTCCATGATATTTCCAGGAACATATCTCCATGGTAATGAGAAACATGAGTCATTATCATCAGAAATATTCCCTGAATCATTTTCTCTTTTCTCTTTGCTCAATCTGCGGGCCTTTGCACGCATATACGACATTGCCGGCCCAGCAGACTTACTTAGTCTTTGAATTTTACTTTTCTCCTCCTTTTCCACATTTTCCTCTGCACTACTGGCATTGCCTTCTTTTGGGTCATCAACATATATATATTCATCTGTCTCCCCATTTTCTACAACATCCTCTGAGTTCTCCAAGGCGGAGAAATTATACTGAGTTGTTGCCTTAGTTAACGGATACATTTTTAATTCACAACACTGATAATTAAATAAAATCACAAGACCTCCTATGATTATTAAGCTTTTTCCAAATAATTACGCACTTAAAGCTTGACATCAAAAATCAAAGTACACACTTCACATTTCAATTCAACATCAAACATTTAATATACAGTATGTTCAGATTGATATTACATTTATGTTATAATTACTCCTTTAACTGTCTCAAAGGCAGCTGTCTAAAACGCCAACTGATGGCACGATATGTTTACACCCAATAAAATTACAAAATGGGCATTCAATAATTGAATATCAAAAATCAAGTTCAATTTATATCTTTTTCCTCATCTTGTAAATTGAAATATAAATCCATGATCTATTCATTAAAACCCTCCGTTGCATTTTCAATTTCTATAAAATCCATTTTCGTACACGTCAATTACTGCGGAACCTTCCTTTCTAATGAATACACTCTCAATGTCACAGTTCTATTGTGATCGTTATTAAACTATTACTCTTTCTTGTGAAAAATAAACTTTCTAAATGGTTCTAATTTGCGTCTAATTTTTCAATCCCATCATTGTGAATAGAGCCTGCCACATTAAATCCCTAACTGTTTACTTTTTATCTATGAGCGTGGATTAAAGGAACAATAATAAAACTGTTAAATCAAAATAGGCAGACGTCTGAGCTGATTATTTACATATTCCTCAAGTGATTCACAGTATCCGAGAAACGTGGATTACGCAAAAATTTATGTTAAAATATAACGATAATTAAAAAAGATTGTCCTTAGTATGTATGGCACAGCTCAGAAAACATACTAAACCATTACAACACTTGTGACAGAACAACATAAATTATCTAAATCACAGAATTTTCATTTTGCATTTCCTTTATTTTACATGAATTAATTGTTTTAGAAACAATGTAAAATCAATAAACAAAAACAATGAATTTGTTTGTTGAAAAATAAAAACTACCGTTCCTTTATGTCAACTTTTGAAAATAATCAGATATTTAAAATAAATCCACTTATAAATAAATAAATTTGTTTACAGTTCAAGAGTCCGTTATAAACAAAAGACGTTTGTTTAACAACAAAATTCCACGTCAGGCAAGACTACTGTCTTTAACATTCATCATATTAGTTTTGATTCAATCAGTCAATAAGTCCTCATATTACACCTTTTTAAGCCAATCGGGGCATTTATCTAAACATTATGATGATCAACAAGAATTTTATTACGCCTTTCAACTCAGATTTACAGATAAACTGTGACAATACACAATGATTTCATCTCCATAGGTCTATGAAAAACGCCATCAAAAAATGTTTTCATGTCAAATATACAAATACTTATCTCAACCGCTTTTCAATATTTCAAATTAATTCTCGACCAATGCGTTTAATATGACAGCTTATTTGATTACTTTATCTAGAAAGGCGTTTATCTATCCTATAAAAATCTAGTATCATTAAATATGTGTTAAAGTAATTTTAAATACTACAAGTATTCAATTAATATATTTATTAAGTATTATAGCAGAATGCCTTAATTGCTGGTTGTTACAGGGTAAACAAACTATTAACTGGTTAACATTCCATTAAATGTGAAAATAACTACAGAATTGCTACTTGTTTATATGATAAAATTATATTACAGTATCATATAATACATACTGCTTTTGAAAAGAAATTTATCTTTCTTAAAAATTTTATGTTGCAATTTGAAATGGGGATTAGAATCTTGAATGAAAAGATTTCATGAAATAACTTCCTTTAAATTTAATTTCATGTATGTAATCTTATACAGACACCAGATAGGATAGTGCTCAGACACTTAGTAAAGCGCTCATATTGTAACATGTATATTACGCCACTTAAAATTTGTTTTTATTGATCATTTAAACATGACAAAGTGTCCTAGTAGATCAAAGTTTATTTGATTTTACTAAGAAAGGTAAACAAATGTAAACATCAATGTCACTCCTGTATCCACTTTTGAAGTGTGCCTCACAAAAGCCCCAGGAAGGCTACTATGTAAATAACCAGAACCAGCAGTGAGTCTACTAAAATACAGTTGTAACTTGGTCATTTGAATTCACTGAGTTAAATCACAATTGCATTCAGCCTGTAAAATATACTTCCGTCTATAGACCACTTCTAATTCTGACCACAATATCTTTTCAACAATGTTTAGCTTTCTACTTTTAATCCAATTTTAAACAAGCAATTATCATAGTATTGCAAGCAATCCATAAGTCCCCTACCGGTAAGAGCCCAAGCAACATTCTGAAGGGCCATTGGCCATTCACTTATGTTCCTATTTTAAGTAAATTTGTTGAAAAAGTTCTTTAAAAGTGATCACAGGAAACAGTTTTTATGTACAGACAGACAGACTAGAGGACACTCTAAAGTTATTTTTTAAACATCCCTGTTAACAAAATATAACATTTTTAAAATCCTATCATGATTGAAGAAGTTGGAGTAAAAATTACCAATTTCTCAAAAAAAAAAGTTCAAAAGGGGCATAATTCTGGAAATAGTCTTGCTAGAGTATTGAACACTCACAAATGTTGAGTGATAATAAGAAACATTTATATGAAGTTTGAAGTAGATACATTCAGAAAAAGAAGTTATTAAAAAAAAACAATGTTTTTTCATGAAAATTTTAAGTTCAAGGGAGGTAATTCTGATAAATTTTGTGCTAGAGTTGTAAACCTTGTCACATATGATGTGGTTGATTACAAGCAACTTATATTTAAAGTTTGAAGAAAATACCTTAAGAAATAAAGAACTTATAGTGAAAAAACTTAAAAACTAGAATCAGAAATCTTGAAATTCAGTCTATTTGTTGCCATAGCAACCAGAATTTTCAACATAAGAAGATAAGAAAAGGATGTGCATAATTTCCATACTGCCATATACCCATATGTCAAGTTTCATAAACATATTTTCAGTACTTTTGTGTTATCACTGGATCCAGGTTATGTGTAACATTTGCCATATTTTCTGTCTATTTGTTGCCATAGCAACCAGAATTTTCAACATAGGAAGAAAAGAAAAGACGTGCATAATCTCCATACTGCCATCTATCCATATATCAAGTTTCATAAAAATATTTTCAGTACTTTTTGCATTATTGCGGGATCCAGGTTAAGTGTAAAATTTGCCATATTTTCAGTCTATTTGTTGCCATAGCAACCAGAATTTTCAACATAGGAAGAAAAGAAAAAGACGTGCATAATCTCCATACTGCCATCTATCCATATATCAAGTTTCATTAAAATATTTTCAGTACTTTTTGTGTTATCGCGGGATCCAGTTTTGTGGACGGACGGACTGACTGACGGACGGACGGACTGACGGACGGACAGACAGACGGACAGACGGACGGAGGGTAAACCTAAAGTCCCCTCCGGTAAACCGGTAGGGGACTAAAAAGCCTAAACATATATATCATAGCGGACTTTGACCTTACCCTGGTCTACAACCTTACAATTAGAGCCAGTACCTGAAAGAAATACCTTATTTTTGTTTTTATTTTTGAAAACTGATTAACAAAGCCCATGAGATCATGAGATAATGTTTTATTCATTATATGCAGACAGTTCCTAAATGAAACCAAACAATGAAGTCTTTCATGTTTATTGTTAAGGTTGTTAATAATAAATGAACATGAAAAAAGAAACCTTAAACCTGACTGTATGTTGCCATCTGCCTATTTTGTGTTTGTGTTTTTACTTCTTTAACTATATGTATAATGAATTAAGTATTTAAAATTTTCAATACATATATGCATATGTATGTGAAATGTAAAGCTGTGGTAAAATAGCTTAAGTAATTTGAAATAATGTCAATGAAATAAAAACAATTTAATACCAACTATAAAGAATTAACTATTTCATAATTAATTGGTAAATCCATCATCAAAATTCCTATTTTTTCTTTTGCACTAAAAATATAACAGCTTTTTTTTTTCAAAATTCCACCATCAAACATTGACACGTTGTTTAAATGCATGCAGGCATCTTCCTTAGATTCCATTAAAGAAAAATGAGAAAATTAAGTCCTTCTGAACACATTTCCACTATATCCTGTTTGTTTTTCATGTAACTATATCCACTTTTAAAATTTGTTTTAGTTCATTTCTTGCTCAAAGAAGCATAATGTATGCATTCAAGTGTACAGTCGCAACTTATCAAAAAACAATCAAGATGTATTTTAACATTATGATGTCGAAATCACAGAACATGTGTTATTGTAGATCACTCTGTATGATTTGAATGATTCAAGCATAGACAATATCGCGATCCCTTCACCATGAACCAGTCAAACAATTACCAGACACTGATCGTACATCTACCAATAAATTCTTTTTGATTGAAGCGACAAAACAATGACCATCTACAAATATCTGCTCCACTGAGGTATTGTTTAATTATCAAAAGAATTGACGCTTAAATATTTATTTAAATCCCCCGTGTTTAATATGCTGACAAAAGACTAGCAAATGTTGTATCAATTTTTAATATTTTCTCTAAAAAAATGGGCATCATTTTGCATGTCAATAAATCAACAAGCAGCTATATCACTTTCCAAAGTTAGAGGGTTTTATTCATACCTATTGAATTTTTAATCTGATTGACAGTTTATTTTCTACATATATCATTATCTGAGGGGGTGTTTAAAAAGGGAAGCAACTGCAACAGTCATACTTGTATTCAGTACAAACTGATTTATTTCCCCTAATTTGGCAGTTCATATCCTTTATTACCCAATAGTTATTTTCTATGAGCTACAAACTCAGTTCACTTATGATTATAAAATATTTACTTCACATCATCTAAATTAATTAACTTGTCAAAAGAAAATGCTCAAACTTTCCTTACATTCAATCAAAATCCTTTTCAAACAGCTTTAAAAAAAATACTAAAGGGAGATCAAACACAAAAGCATCTTAAGGAATTCTCTGGAGTGGTTTCCCCTTACTAACAATTTACCTACCAACTGATTTTCTATATAATTTCTAAACCCAAAAATTATTAATAAATAATATTACTTAAATAGGCAGATAATATAAAGCTCAGTAAAATAGAGGCTCAGTAAAATAGAGTAAATTTGTCATACTGGACAACCTTCAATTCTTAAATTGGAGTGGCTTATTGTATTCTCTTTGTGGGGTAATGTAGAGGGCAGTCTGCAAGTATTCCAGGACTAGCTGTGAGTTCTGTGACCAAGCATTTAATATGGACTGGTAGCCAACCTATGTTAGGGGTGTCATCGATTCAATCGATATCGGTGTATCAACGATCTTTGTTATCCGATTCGATATCGATTCCATTTTTTAAATATCGGATATCGAATGCTCATATAATTTCTAGCTAAAGAGACTTCAGCGTACAGGTTTTATAGAACTGACAGACCTGTTTACTGTCGCAAAACATCAAAATAAAAGCGACATATAAAGTTATGAATGCCAGAAACATTTTTTTTCTAAAATGAAAACGGAAATCAATGCCAAAGTTACCTCCCAGTGTCTCTAACGAATGCTGCCTAATTTCGTTGTAATCTCGCATGTCTGCTAAGTGGATGTGTAGAAATGCCAAGAAAAATTTGTCAGTGTTTCTTTGTAAAAATTATGATTACAAAATGTTAAACTTTAATAATTATTCAGGTTCTAAACACTATAATTTGCCAATTAAACCCGGCTTAATTGGAACGGCAAGGACGGGATTTAGCATGATCAGTAACTACGTTATAGCAACAACAACAACTAAAGTTAAATGGAAAAGGCTTTAAACTTTATAGTTACTAGTCATTAGTTTTCATTTATAGCTTTATAATAAAAAAGAAACAAATTGTTCAGTTTTCATAGTTGATCTTTTCTGCATTTGTCTATATATAACTGCTTTGTCAGTGTCCTTAGGAAACATTTAAAAAGACTTGAAAGCTAAAATTTAGCCTGGCAATCGATATATCGCTGTATCGCCGATAATTCATTACCGATATATATCGATACAAAAATCCTTATCGATGACACCTCTAGTCCTATGTACATTTGACACATACATGTATATGCATATAACTAATTGACAGATTAAAGTATGTCTTACCTTTCTTATCATCAGAGTCTGAATCATCTGATTCAGAACTTTCCGAGACCGACATGTACGGAAAGTTCTTCTCCCATTCTGCATATGACTGGAATGTACTCCTGTAGCCTTGGTTACGACCTGAAGTAACAAAGAAAAATAGTAAAATATGTTGGACTGATGTAAATAAAAATATTTTTAAATTAGACTTATTGCTGTATTACAAATAATTTTACTTTTCAATTACTTGTTACGGTACTACATGTAACATACAGCTTTTTAAAATTTTCATAAATATAGCTGGGGCCAACTTATTTGTATAAAAGCCTAGATTTCATGTATCTTTCAAATTTTAGCACTTAACTATTCTTTGTGCTTTATAAATTTACTTTGATTTTTTTGATACATTGTTTATCATCTCTATTATCTTTATTATTCCATGTATTAAATAACATTTGATGCACATCTTGCAAACATAACAAATTGTCTTTATTTGTTCAAAATTATATTATTGATGATGATGAATATTATTTATGTAATGTACTTTTTATTAAAGCATGCTGATAAATTTTCATGCAAACTTTGCTGTATTGTCAGTTATTGGAAAGTCTCTATTAAAGCAACAAAGTAAGTGACATTTAATTTATCTGTCAAATAACATTATAGATTACACTTTCATAAAAGACAGACTTGGTTCAAATTTTTTTGAAAATTTGGCTTTAATATCATACACTATTCCGCAGTCAACTGGCTTTCCAAGTTGTATGACTGCTAAACTTATCGACTAAAATTTAACCCATAAAGTTGAATTATGTCAGGTTACCTGTATTATTAAATTATAATATCTAATATAAAGAATGCAGGAGGTACAATAAGAATATATTAATGTGTGATTGATCATTCCTACAATAATAAATAGTCTAATTTATTCTCAACTTAATCAATCTATGATCAATATTTATATAACAACCTGGGTTTAGTTCATTGTTCAAATAAGAAAAAGAATTACACAAGGTAGTAGAGTTCATGGTCTTTTAATCCCAGTCAACATCGATCATTGCTTATTTGTAAATGATTGCATTCCAAGGCTACAGGCCGTAGTTTTTTTTAAGTTTAATGATTTTAATAATATATTGTTCTTTTATTACCCGTCTCTTTATTACCATAAAAGCCTGAAAATTATAGAACTTCAGAGAACAGTTACCTCCCTTTATTTCAATAACCCCATTAGGAAAAAAGAAACCAAATGAAATCAATGAAATAAAGTACAGATTTTTGATAAAAGTAAAGAAAAAATGGCCAATAGTTCAAGACTTATATATATATATATGCATAAACATGCAGAGCTTACTTTTTGTATATATACAACATAAACAAAAATATGACTGTAACAAGTTTGTTTAATTCATATAATGCATACATGTGATATGCTGGGGGATTTTAAAAAAATCCCAATATTTCAACCCTGATCCCAAATCGTTAATAAAATAGATAAAATGTCAACATAAAAAAATCAAACGTAGCACCTTTATATAATATTTAAACTGTGCCGCCCGGCATTGATTGTTATCTGTCCATATTCCGGATGATAGCAGATTTGATATTGTGTTGAATATTGTGTTGCTTATTGACAGCAAGGTGGCATAATAAACAGTTTGCCGAAGTTATTCTAGCATGTTTAACTTATCAAGGGTCTTCTGTCACTTTTAATTTACATGCTGTGATTCAGTCTTTCTTAAATGGCAGTATGTAAATTTACTTCTAATTTTTATTGGCACATAATTATATTAAAGTTGATGCCGACTTTGATTTTCTTTGATTAGTGCCGCACTGATAAAGAATTGTTTAGGAAATATATCTATTCTTGTGGATATAATTAACAGAAAATTTCTTTCTTTTTAAATATTTTATTTTTTGTTTGTATATACTCTTCTTGCGTTAACCTATTTCACTGTCAGAGATAATATGATTATGAATATTTAGTTTAGTAACTCTAAACGTTTTTAATAAAGAAGAAATAACTTATCAAGTATTTTTTAGCAACTTCAGCTTGTTGCTAAAAAAAAAAAAAAAAACCCGCAAACATGCATTTTCCCTTCTGAGTTTTGAAATTTTATTGAATGTCTGAAAAGACACTGAACTTTTGTTCCATTTAAAGTAAAACATAGCAAAATGTACAGGACTGTTCTAGAAGAAACTTTTATTGACTTATATATATAAACATATAAGACATGGGCTGTATGATTATGTTCTTTTTTTTCCTTTCTGTGTTTAAATGATATTGATCAACAATAAGATCATAAAAACACTTTTAATTTTGAGGGTAAATATCAAAATGTGCCTAACACGTCTATAAAAAATCCAGTTGAGACGGGCTGAAAATCCAGTTCTGGCCAATTTCAAATTTTATCACTATATGGTAATGTACTGAAATATTTTTAAATACTATAAACTCTGACAGTGATAATGAAAATAACTCAAAAAAATAAACTAGAAATGATCACTTAAGGTGATTCATACCCTCACCTTACCTATTTTGCTGAAGCCAAATTTGTACCAAAAATAATTTCACTTAATTGCTTTGCTAAAAGGTTGTCATATCTGCTAACCATTATTTTGGCCAAAAAAAAAGATTTTAAGGATAAAGGAGATAACTGAAGTTAAACAATTAGTATTCAGACTGAAGCCAATTTGAATTAAAAGGGACTAAACTATGATATAACTACCTATCAGAGTTATCAAACATGAAACTGATATTGCATTGATATTTAAGTTCAAATTATTATCTCTACGGTTCCTAAGATGAGACTGGACATAAAATAATAAAGTCATATCCAGCTACCACAAAAAAACAATCAATAACTTGACATTGAATGTCAAGGTCATTCAAGACTCAAAATCAATGTAAGTCATCAACTTGAAGGTCTACATTTAAGGATTGTTGCGTCCAAGTATGAGGACAATTCATTAATGAAAGTTTTATGTCCCCATTGTGATTTGTTTTCATATTAGATACAACGAGGCAGTTTGAAGGCAGGAAGTATCCCCTTAATCAGTACAATTTTTTAATTTAAGAGTCTATGACCAACATTTAAGTATGATCTTGTCCTTAGAAGAAACAACCTGGTTTTTGAGCTCTGCACATCATTTCATAATCGTAGAGCTGGCACAAAATATGGACTTTTATGTATTTTACTTTGAAGTTTGACCTTGACTTTGGGAGAGTTACCTGACTCAACTGTTGTGCTCTACACATTGTGTCATAAATGAAGATCAAATGTGCCAAGGTACTTTCAAGGTAAATTATTCATTGTTATGAAGCGGACACAAACCTTGACAATAAGTCTTCAAAGTTCGCAGTTTTGTTAAGACTGATATTTCTCTAAATAAACATAATTATCACAACTAAAAAAAATACCAACAGGGTGAACCATAGGACCTGTTTGTTAAAGCAGTGAGAATGAAAAGCCAATGTCATCATACAAAAATAACTTTTTTTTTCTTGTACATGATACAGATTTTAATTTAGTTTAATTTAGTCATTATTTTCACAATAAAACATTTTTTTTTGTATTTATCAAATTTAATTTCTATAAAATAATGTATATTCAGAAGTGTCTGTCGGCATGAAATAAAATTATGTACATCAGTTCTAAATACTGTTAATACATCATAATTAAGATATTCAAAAAAGCATTTTCAACAAATTTCTGATTTAACAACATAATGAACCATGCAGTTATAGTGCAGTTATCATGCAGTAAAAAGTAAGTATTGTCAGTATTCCTTAAGTTAAGCGATCAGTGTCTTAAGCAAACTATTAATTTGAACACTTCCCGCAATACTAATCAATCATAACAAGAGCTAAATATACCACCAGCAGAAACTTCCAGGCCAGCCTGAACTACTAACGACTAAAGACACTTCATTTAAACAGTTACTAACACCACTGAATTTGTATACAAATTAGTCTTCAGCTTGAAGCTTGAACAAATATTTTAGAGATTTCAATATCAAATACACTTACTGCATCTAAGCAGTATAAAGAGAAGCTGAAGACTTAAAGGCCATAAACCTGCAATTATTACTATCAGCCTTAAATGTTAAAGTAACTGATATAGAATTTGACCTCCTTTGAATTTGGAACAGATCAGTCAAAGCTTTCAGGATTTCAGTATCAAAATATAAACAAGAGCACTGCATGATGTGCTAATGTTGTCTTTAATAACACATTTTATTTTTAAAAATATTCAAAGTCATAAAGGGGCTTAACTCCTGAAGAACTGCTTTCAGGATAATGTCCCTTGTCTTTTAATTGTACTTTGTCAATCAGTGTTATAAATTTCATACTGATACCATTCTTAGTTTTGAAATCATTCTTCATAATTTTGTCAAAAATGGTAGTCAAATAGGGGCATGAGTCTTTGACCATGACAAAGACAACATCATATTATTATATAGGGATAAAAATAGCTTGACCCTGTCCTTGAAACAGACAAGCTAAAATCTGAACCAGGTGCCTGCAGCAAAACTGGTGACAAATGCTAATCACTTTCGTTCCGAGCAGGATAAAGGTTAAAGCTGTAATCATATGATGTTAGAAGATTTTATTTGTGTCCAAACTCATCAATGCTTACCCAAGGTTGAGCATGTTTTTGCCCTCCTGGACTCTGTCATAGCAATTGTATCGAGAAATCCTATCATTGTGATTAAATATATATATTTCACCTTTTCAGATATAATATAGTATTTTACAAATTTCAATTCCTTATTCACCAAATATTCATATATTAATCTTCTTTATATTCATTTATAAATATTCATGTTACAAATTCATGTATATTCATATTATATCACAAATCTTCATATTACACTTATCATAATGTTATGACTATATTATTAATGTAAAATATAATTAATATATTCAAATGTAAATATTCACATGTCACAAAATTATTCATGTATATTTATACAGCATCAAGACTACTGGTATTCAAATATTATCCATCATAAGAAAATGAAGCACTATTATATATAAACATCATTTCTTAAAGTAGCAAAGTTGCACAGACTACGTATTTCCTAGTAATTCTTCTAATCTTCAAATAATGCTCATCAGTTAATGGCTTTCTCTAACATTT